GAATTATCAATTTTCAATAATTTTTTTAATAAAGAAATTGATAGTCTAGAAACTTAAAATAATAGTTACGTTTTCTATTGTATAAGTACTTTATACCTGAAAAAAATGAACCTTCTAAATTCAGTAGAATAGGCACAGGTGCCAGACAAAAATCACAAAAATTGGCAAATTATCATTAATCTTTAGTGGTTTACCATTCTTTTATGAGATTAACTAATTGGATAATAATAATTTATATCGAAAACACACTTACTGGGCAGTAAAACAAAATTAAAATTATTTCAATATTTGTCACAGAAAAAAAGTTCTGGCCCACTATAAAAGAGTAAGAAATTGACACTATTTCAGACTTCTAAGGGGTGCCAAATAAAAGTAAAGCAACAAAAAATTAAAACGGCAACGGATTTTCATATTTGACACCTAAAAGATCATCCTCAAATTTTTTCATCAAAATAAAAAATCACGCAGCGCACCCCATTTGGTGTTTTTATTTGAAATGACTCAAATAATAAATAATAAAAACGGAAAAAAGTTTTTTTCACAATTTTTCCGACACCTTAACTTACTAATAAAATTTCAAAGAGCATGTTCTTTCCATAAAAAGTTTTGATCACAAAGCGGACTAACTTAGAGTTGATATAGAGATCTCAAACTTTTAGGGATTTTTTTTTATCGATTTTTTATCGTTATGAAATTTTATCGGAAAATATTTGTTTAAAGAACTCAAATAATGACCAAATTAGATTTTTTTTAAATTGTTAATTTTTAAATAAAATACAAAATAGTATATTATGTATTAAGTTTGATAAACGCCATTTTATACACGAATTTAATTTAGGCACGAGCGGGCTTGCGAGCGAGTGCTTAAGTTAATGCGTGTATAGAAAAGTTTATAAACGAGGTGCATACTATACTTTTTCTACGACAAATACTTATTATTATCTTAAAATGATTTAAATCAAAAATTTGTATAGAACGCCATCTATGAAACAACAGGGGAAACTGTCAAATGTCACATTTTTACATTTTATAAACACAATTATAAAGGTTATAAATCGAAATATATCTTGAAAATTGACAGTTTTTCACAGTGAAAGTAAAGGAAATGTTTTATGAGGACTTTACAGTAGAGTCCGTGCCCGAATTTAAGTTATAGTTTACTGCCGGCGAAATTAAAAGGTCAGTACAATGTTCATATAAACTTTTTAAATATTGGCGTTGAGAAACTATTTAATATTTTTGTATTAAAATAATAAAATAATTTTCACATCTAGTATTATTTTACAAGAAAGGCACTTTATTTTAACGATTGTATGACATTTGACAACTGTCAACTAACTTAAAACTAACTTCAGCCCGTGACTAAAAACCTGTTGCCTACTTTCAGCCCGTGACTAAAGCGCCGTAAAGCCACAACTTGTCAATGTGTATTTAAAAGGTCACTTAGTGTCATGTAAACATGTACTATAAAGAAAAAAAAATTTTCTAAGCACATGATTTCTATAGATATATTACCTATTTATTTTTATAATATGTTTAACTAATACATTTATCTTTTGTCCTATATACAAACCAATTTCAAGCAGATTTATATTAAATTGCACTAAATAAGATTTTACCATACTCCTTTCTTCAATTTCTAGGATTATATTACGAAATAAAATCAAAAGTATATTAAGGTTGTATTTCCAGTGAAACCTTTTTATATCTATCTGATATTTCGGCATTTTTACACCACATAATACCACGATATTTTTCCGATGCGAACGATTAGAGAAAGTACCTACCTACGAAGGTCGTGCTGCGCATATCTATCGCGTTTCGAGATTGTTTTTGAATAGGTATTTATAATTAAAGTCTCTCGTCGAGAGAAAAGTGGAGCGGCTTTGAGCGTTTATTTCCTTAAAGTACCGGTTCTCTGACGATGCGGATTTAATGCCTTTAAAAGACAGACGATTGCATTTTAATTGGAGGTACTTCCTACTGTGCGCACTGAAGAAATTTGTTTCATGGAAGGTTGACCATCAATTTGGACCGATTTAGAAAGAATCGCAGGAATGCGTCGACTTAATCCATTTTTTCTTCTTTTGTATAATTCTAGGATATGTTAACCGTAGTTACCTATGTATAACGTAATTGATTACAGTGGTCGGCAAATTTAACCTTTTAGGGCATTTCAAAAATAAAAACATATTATAATTCGTTAATATACGCGGTGGTCCAGTTTAAACGTCATTATTTTTGCAAGAGGTGATAAAGCATAAAAAATAAAGTTAACTTTCATTAAAAAAACGTTGCTCAAAAAAGTTTCCTAACAGATAAAAGCCGTAAAAAAATTCAAGAAGGGTTGTTATTAGAGATGCGACTTGAAAAAAAAACGGTCCGTTTTTTTAGTTTTTTTTCAGGTCATTTTTCATTTATTTTTTCAAATGGTTTTTTTTTAATATTTTAGGTTTTTTTCAAGATTAGTCCCATTTTCCTAATTTTTTATGTTTCCAGTCCAGTTCCTGGACTAAAATTAGCCACTAAATGACATTTAATAAATGTAAATACAGTCTCGCGACTTGCACGTGTCACCACCACCGAATTGACCAATAAGGGCCGCGCTTGTTTTGATTTGGTCCTAAAAAAAATAACTACCTATAATATTTTTGATTCAGCGCTTGATTTTTCAAAAAGCTACCAAAAGCACTTTTTTCATGATTTTTGAAATTCATGTAGAGTATGGAATTTAAAAAAAAAACAATTGCAAATTCTTGTAGAACATTTATTCATTGGTGGTTAAGTCAGAACATTCCGCGGACCAAAAAAGAAAGCCAAAAAAATTTCGAATTTTTTTATTACGGTATTCGTTAGGATTGAGCGTTGCAGGTTTTTTATCTAAAAATCTCAAAACTAGAAACTTCATGCTTCAAATTGCCTTTTTTACGGCTCCAATACGACCATTTTTAACGAAGATACAGCTATCCGAAAAATTTGGAATTTTTTTTATCCTTTAATTTTTTCTTTTAGTGGAAAAGTTTAACATTTCTATTGGTTTCTTATGTGGAAACTACCAAATAATAAGAAATCAGATTTTTTAGTCTCGGTCAAAATTTTCAATGAAAAATGTAGGTAATATATTCTTTATTTCACGTTATTATTAATATACATTTTACTTAAAATTTCATTTTGAAAAATTACTCCATTTTTAAGATTGATGTGATTTATTGACAGAATATGCTTTATTGCAGCGGATTTCAAAAAAAAAACAAAAAAACATTTTTTTCTAGTTTTTTTTCAAGTTTTTTTTTCACATCTGAAAAAGCGGCTATTTGAAGTAAATATGGTTGACAGATGTATTTTTTGACAGTTTGTGGCCCAATTCCAGGACTAAAACTTTCCCCAGTATTTTGAATTTGTTTCCCAAACCTTTAAATTTAAATATTTCAGAAAATTTAACAGAAGTAGTTTTTTCTCTAAATTGAACAGATAACCTAAACATGATTTCTTATTTTAAATGTTTCAGTGGCGTCAAATACTAAGGTAAAAATTGGGGGCCCCTTCGTAACTGCGCCCCTGATGTTTTTTTAAATAATTATTCACGTCAGGTATGCAAAATCTGATGAAAATGGGAAAAAATAGGAAAACTAGTTTTTTCTGAACTTTGACGGCCTAGATTAAAAGATCTATATCCAAGTTTTAATAATTAAGTTTCAATTATTAAAAAATTTTAAAATTTTCAAAATGACAAATAAAATGGATTTAAAATTTGATATAACTTTTAATTCTAACATTTCCAAGTTTCATTTTACTCTAAAATACAAATTAGTTTCTCTTAAGTGTTATTAGTTTAATTTTTTTTCAGGAAGCATAACTTTTTATTAAGAGTTACTTTTTTCGTATACCCACTATTTTATTAGATGTAAAACAAAACAAAATTTGTAATTTCACAGTATTCAATAAAAATGTTCACATAAAAATACAGATGCTGCTTAGATCGTTCTTAGAGCTTCAATACTTGACTTAATACTTAACCTGATACAGTTAAACCGAGCACGAATTCGTAATCAAGACTAAAAAGTTTACGTGTGATATTTTTACCTTCTTACAGTGTAATACGTATTTACGAGGCATTTCCAAATTTGTTTTTAAGGTATGTGTAATTAACCGAATAATTTAAATATTAATTCTGGTTATCTACATACGCAGGTATTAGTGGTCCAAGGTTAATTGGAACTGTAAAATAGATAAAATTATAGTTAAGTTAATATATCAAGTTTAATGTATATTTAATTCCACACCAATTTTAATTAACTTTTATATAAATAATTCAATATAATATTTTTTATCTACTCCTATTCTATAATATTGGGGTTATAATGCTAACCATTATAACCCCCCTTACAACGGGAATAATGAGCTCATTATTTACTTTGCTGGGCATCGGTGATTGGCCGATTTAAAATAGGGGAAAGGCGACTATACTAAAATGTATAGAAAGTGAGGCTCTAAGTGAGGTTTACTATCTGACAGATGTCAGATTTTTATCAAATGTATACAAATTTTTTAATGTTTTTGTTTATATTTAAGGGACTTTTACTATATTTATTATATATTATATTTAAGTATTGAAAATATTTAAGAAATACATAAAATTTGTTAATATTAGTAAAGTTATGAAGATTTTTTTTACACAAACTGTCAGAAAATGTTTCAACCATGTCAACCTAAGATGTCTTATTTGAGTGGTTTCCATGCAGCGTTGCCTATTATTTTAAAATTAAATGTTGATTAACTCGATAACTACCTATCGGAATTTTTTTTATTACTCCCGTGTATTCACTCTGTTTACTTGGTACTAAATAAAGAGTACACTTTGGAAAAAGTTTTAAATTTAAAATTCTAAAAAGTAACGTAACATTTAAATTTAAAAGGTTTTGGGAAAAATACTTTTCGGATTTGTTGTACTCTCACGTTTTAGAACATTGGACTAATATTTTTTTTTTAATTAATTTCAGATTTGTCCTCTTCAAGAAGCACTATGACAAGTACTTACACCTATCCAAAAAGTATGAAGAGGCCAGGAATATCGCCTATTACTTGGAGGAGAAATATCACGAAGTTAAGGTATAAAAGTTATCATATTTAAAATAATGCATTTCATTAAATAGAATTTTTGTTGCCTACAGTATATTGTATTCAGTTTTAGAAATTTGAATACTCGTTTGAATATTAATTGGAATGTCGAAATATTCGAATACTAGAATTATTTGAATACTCGATTATTTGAATACACAAATATTCAAATATTAGAATTTTCTAATATTTGGATATTCAAATATTAAAATACTTTAAATAATCAAATTTAAAAACTACATATTATTAGAATATATTTAAGAAATAAATAAATTTCTCGTTCCTATTTTACTGGCGCTAACGAGCAATGTTGGCAGGTCTAGTGATTTAATAAAAACTTTTTATAATTGTGTAATAATAATAGTAAAAGATTTTGGCAGATTTAAATATCCCTTGAAAAATTACAAAATCTCGTTTTTACGATATTATGAAAACTGTCGAATTATAATGTTTCTCTAAACATAAGCGATCGCTTACACCCTGTATAACGGTTTAAAGTATTTTAATATTCGAATATTTAACATAGACAGACAAATCATTTTTGTGTTTTTTTACTTTTATTTGCATCTCGCTTCTTTTTCGAGTAAAACAAATTTCTCTTCACACTTATTAAGCAAATTAAAAATACACGAATGCTCGAAATGTAGGCATATTTTAAAATTAAAAATAAAACATGTTTATAACAATGTTAGTTTATTAATGTTTTTGTCAGCGTTTTTTATTAAAAAAAATGCAAGGAACGAAATCTCGGAGTTTTTTTCTTATTTTCATGCAAGGAATCTTATATTTTTTCTCATAAATTAATCAATCACCCTGTATAAACTCATTTTCATTCATAGTCAAAGCTGATCTTAGACTATCAACTAAAATAAAGTACGTAGTCGTAGTCTTATAAAATTTGTAACTAGCTTGTATAATTATTGCTGTTTTTGCTGCTTATAGATGGAAAGGGATGATCTAATACACCAGAGAGAGGAACTGACCAAAAAGTTGGAAACAAATGAGTTGATATTAAAGGAGAAAGAAGATGAAGTTTTTCTTCAATTTGAGAGGGTTGTTTATTTGGAAGATCAGTGTGAAAAAGTAAACAAAAATAATTTTTAAATTAATTCAAGGAAAATATAAAATTTTATTTTAGATAAAAGCCGAGAAGGACAAGTGCCAACAAGTTAAGGATATTTTTGAGAAAGAGAGAGACAAAGCACTTAGACTGGTAAGTTTTTCTCTTTATTTATTTTAGTTTTTTTTAATTTATTTTACTTTATATTTTTAGCTACAAGAACAATCAAAGGAGTCTGAATGCAATAGAAGGAAATTGGAGCGAGCTAGACAGGAAGTTGTTCATCATATGACAAAAATTAAAAATGAAAAAGACGATTTGGAAAGAGAGGTAAGGATCTGTAAACAATTACACTGTGATACAAAATTAAGGTTTGCGAAAGGGAATGGAATAAAACCAAAAGCAAATGAAAGTTAATACTTTCCACAAGAAAACCCTATCAGGGTTTTTTTATATCACGTCTCAGTTTTTTTTGTACGCATTTAAAGATGGTAAATTTTTTGACACCCTATAGGAAAAACATAAGTAAAACTATTTTAATTATTCAAAATAATTTTGTCAATTTGATCGAGGAATACATTTGTGATGTTAATTTTTACCAAAGACCCTCAGAAGAGGACGCTATCAAAAAATTGTTACTAATTTTTACTATTTTTAAAAGGTAAGAAATCCATTTTTGTCATCCGTTTGTTGTAAAATATACCCTAGGTGATATTCGAAAGCAATTTTTAATATTTTGGATTTATTGGAATAGAAAACTTGTTTTTTTAAGAAAAAATAGCATTTTTACTTCTTAACTAAACATTATTAAATTTGCTATTTTATTTTTATTTAAAAACTATCACTGCTGTAACCGGCAGTAACACGAGTTTAAGTACCAGAAGTTCCAGCTGTTCATCCAAAAATTGATAAAAATGCAAAATATAATTAATATAATCAAAAATACCATGTTTTAGTATAAAAATAAAAAAAATACCTGAATTATACCACAACATTGGAACACCAAATTTCATTGACTTCTTTTTCTTTTGTGATCATTTAATTAAATTTTTATTACAAGTTCTGCAAACTTTTCAACATATTCAATTATATGTATACCGTAATATTGTAGGTACAATTTTTTATATTTTGGAACTAAGTTTTGTTTTATATTATATTGTCCTTTAAATAAAAAAAATAATTTAATTAAATATATTAATTAAGAAAAACGTTTTATGTTGCTGTCACTGATTTACTATATAGTACATAATATTATGTGTTTTTAAGTAAACAAATCAATTTTACCTTTAAACAACCTCGTTTTTGCTACAAAAACTACAATTTTTTGTAGTAATAATATTTTTTCTAAAGGGCGAATACGCCGAAATACTTTTTTTCTGTTTTTACCAAAACAGGAAAATAGCATATTCGCCCTTTTGCAAAAATACCATCGATATATTACAATATATTACCACAAAAAAATGTAATTTTTGTATACAAGTATTGTGTTTTGATTAAAGCAATAAAGAGAATTTTTTTTTTTATAAAAATACCCAATTTTCTAGTAAAAATGCCCTTTACTTGAAATAGATTCTTCGACTATATTGCCAGAATAATTTAAAAAAATTAAAATTGTTTTACTTATTTTTTTCCTATTATAGGGTGTCCAAAAATCTACCAACTTTAAATGCGTATAATAAAAAACTGAGACGTGATCTAAAAAAAACCTCATAGGGTTTTTTTGTAGAAGCTATTACCTTTCATTTGCTTTTGGTTTCATCTCATTCCCTTTTGCACTGTTGCACTGTGTTATTATTGTGTTGAGGTCTGCAGTGCAGAGGGCAGTTTTTTTAATGATTTTTAAATTTTTAGATTTGGATGAGAAATAATTGCCAATTTTAAGAAATGTATTTTTATAAATATTACATTTTCATTTCACCAACTTTTTTATTTTCAATGGAATTTTAACTTTTAAATAGTAAATTATGTATCAAGTTTTATAAACACCATTTTAGTTACGAGTTTTATTAGGCACGAGCGAAGCTTGCGAGTGTTTAATGAAAACGAGTGTCTAGAGAAGTTTATACAACGAGTTGCATACTATACTTTATCTACGACGAACTCAAAGAAAAAATTAAAGCAAATTTTATTTAACCTCACTTTTTCCAAATTTATAATGAAGCAAACTTTAGCCCGTGACTAAAATGGCCAAAAGCCACTATTGCTAACTTCAGCTCATGACTAAAACGTCATAAAGTCACAGCTTATCAATGGGGGAGTAGATAAAATATATTATTTACTTTTAGATAAGTCAGCCCTGGATAAAGGGGGTCTTCGGAGGCTGTAGTCTCAAGCCCGGTCATTTTAATGAACCCTCAAACCCTCTTGAGTATTAAAATTTTCTTTTCATAAAGGACCCTCTATATTTTTAATCCCAGGTCTTTTTTTACCTTAATAAGGCCCTGAGCTTATTTATTAATAAAGAGACAAATAATTCATGAGATAAGATAAAATAATAATTTTGATGGGTTATTTATTGTGAATGTCTACATTTAAAAAACTATAATTATTTTCTTAACTAATATGTTTGCAAAGTATACATATACTTAAAAAAGTGTTTAGAATCAAAAAATGAAAAAAAAAACATTATGATCCATTATAAATAACAGTTGGTATTATCCCAGTAAAAATCCTTTGGATTATGAAAATTGGTTCTTGCTACAGAATTGGACAAAATATTTTTTATTGTTTTAAAAAAATCAATAAAATATATCGTAAGCATTTAATTATACCAAGAAATAGTTCAGCAGTTTATATTTCTGTATAACAGAGCCAAACTGTTTACATTTTTAAAATTACGTTACATATTTTTTACGTCAGCACTTAATACTGTTGGAAAGAGCGGGAAAATAAAGGATCGTAATGAAGGCAAAAAAACGTGTACTGTGATTTTAAAAAAGTAGACTTACAGTTTGGCTCTTGGGTACAGATTTAGAATTATGTCCTTAGTAAGCCTCGTAGTAATGAGTTTTTAACTCTTAATTTTTTTTATTTAATTGTAATATATTTTAAGCAAACACATGATTGATTGACTAAATTAAAATTTACGTGTAAATCAACTGATCCTAAATATATTTTTTTAATTACATCCTAAAATTCCAATCTTTATCTCAGAGCCAAACTGTACTTAGTCACACTTTTTAAATTGTTCAGGAGAGCAAAATTAAAGTTGTAAACGCGTCCAACTTTGAAATCAGAAGAGATTAATACTTATTTTTTTTATCATACCCAGAGAAAGTATAATTTTCTTGTTGGTAAGTAAAATGGTGATATTGTTACTTTTAAAATAAAAAGTATAATGGACTTAAGTTATGGCTTTGATGATGGACTTATTTAAGTGACTTAATACCAAAATTTGCTAAACAGGAGTTTACTTAAATAAAAAATCCTTTTTGATTTTCTTGACATACAATTACATGGCTCTAAAAAGTGAAGATCTTATGGTTGCATAGCCTTAGGCTAAAACCTTGTGTAGTCATTTCATGTATTACTGCACTAAACTGAATAAATAAATAAAAAAAATATGGCTCTAAAAAAATTAACATTAATAATATAATTTATATAATATAATAAGTTCTACAAACGTTATTATACATTTTAATCCCAAGTAAAACAGTATTATAAGACTTTGGGCAATGGGTAATTTTGGCGTCTTTTTTATTTTTGCGCCCAAAAAACTATTTTTAATTTTAAATAATTCAACACGAAAGAGAATTCAAATTTATAAATTCCATTATCTTTTTTGTGTTACTGTTTTGAGCTAAATTTATATTTATGTTTTTTTAAGAATCATTTAAAATTAACAATAGTTTTTTGTCCACAAAAAACATTATTTTTAATTATCGTATAAATATTATAGTTTCCAGGGTAAAACAATAATGTTTTGCTCAGAGAACCAATACGTGACCACTTTTGATTTGTGCTTTTGGTCATTATCGTGTTGACGTGTTGAAAATATTCTGTAATGGCATTGTATCATCAATATGTGGCACTAAATTGTTAATTAATATGTCCCTATACATAAAACCAAATGCCGAAAAACAACCCCACACCATAATGGAACCCCCGCCATGTTTAACGGTGGGAAATTGTCAGTCTTGAGCCTAACTAAGTTAAATTTACACTCGTCACTAAGAAAATCCCGTTTCCACTGTACAATGGTCCATGGAACTGCATGTTAATAAATAAATAAAAAAACCACCATCCATATTTAATAAAAATTTAAAAATGGTAACTCATTGTAATTTATGCTAATATTTGTACTTTTTTAGAATAGCGTATTAAAGGAAACCCTAGAATGCGAAAGAAAAGTAATATTCCAGAATATATCTCAACAGCAGGGTTGTAGGCTGCATGGCCAAATGGAATTGAAATCCAAGGTAATTTTATTAACATTTACATCTCCAACATAAATAAAATATTACGTTTTTTTTTTAATTTAGGGTGGGAATAGACAAAGCGACTCGTTAACCTCCCAATTTCAAAAAGCCCTTCAGCATTTGGCAACGTGCAAACAGAAAAAATGTTCCGTTTGCGCCTACACTAAAGCCACCTATAGAAAGTTGTCGCCCCATCACCGAAAATATGAGTAAGTCAAAACATGTTGTTGCTTAGTAGTACCGTTTAATGATCTCACCTAGTGGGTGGTTTTTATTTAAATAATCTTTAAAATGATTTTATTGGAAAGTTGTTACACTTATTGATACAGTTCAATGTATGTCTTTAATCAAGGATTGCCATTAATGTTAATCATAATAATTAAATTAATTTAAAAGCAGCTTATCATTAGATACCAAAGTGACAAGACAATTTAAAATATAAGTAATCCGGATTAAAAAAGTGTTTGGATAGTATATAGGTAGTGTTTTATTGTTCAATCAATATTGATGAAACATTTTTAAATTGATATAATCCATTTCTTTAGAAAACATTTAATAAAAATTATTAAAATTAATAATAAATTAGTTTCTTACTTTATAGTTATCGAATTAAAATAATAAAATAATTGATTTTCTTCAAAAAAGCTATTTGTAAAAAATGGCGAATACGCCGGGATTAATGTACTAATAATTGAGTAATTGAGGTTATATGTTATAAAACCGAAAAAACTAAGTTTTTACAATGTTATATGTGACCCAACGTTAACACCTGAAAATAACTCTATTTATATGGCTCATTATTTTTATTGGAACGTTAGAGTTTCACACAAATTTTGCTTATTTTAAAATAACTATTAATTAAAAAATCATATGCAAGAAATAAGGGACCTTGCGACTAACATTTTGCCTGGCTTTTTTTGTATTTTTAATCGTTTTTAATATATAAATATTTTATATAAAAGTAATTGTTTCATAGTATTTATGTTTAAGTTTATTAAATAAAGATTTATAGAGGTTGTCCCAAACTGATTTAGGCTCGATTTAATTTATTTTTAAGTATAAGTAAGGTATTAAAATAATATTTCGATTATGAAAATATAATGAAACAGTTTTTTAAATGAAGATTTTCGGTAAAAATGTCATGGAAGGTTACACAAAATTTCTGTAAAGTTACTTAATTGAAAATAGTGAGAAAACAATGTCCCTAAAATATTTCGCATCTATATGAAATAGCCCAAGTAACAATTTAGGTTTTATTAGGTAATACAGGAAAGCTTTAAAACCTTTTTTTCTGGATATTGATAAAACCTAATTATCCGCAAGATAGTCATAGGACTGCTTTAAGTCTCTTTTAAGTATAAAAGGGAGAATCCTATGAAGGTTCTTAGGAGTAAATTTTAAGAATTAGTTAAAAGAATTTGGCTTTAAGCAAAACAGTCCGGTGAGTATTTTTAAACCATCCATAAAACTAAATAACATAACCCTTAATATTTTTAAATAAGACCGAAATGTCCTCACAAAGTCAACAATAAGACTCATTGATTTAATATAGTTTTAAAGGAGTAAATTTTTATTGTCATTTATTTTAATATTGTTTTAACAAATTTTAATAATATTTACATTGGTAGTGGGTCTACCGAATTAAAAATGGATCCCACTAACTGCAAAAATGCAAACGCCATGTTTTCCGATACGTAATGAGTTATTGATAAATATATTTGGCTTTAGTGCAGGGTTTCACGCTTATAATTTCCCAACGAACACCGGGTTTTTGTTAAAGGTAACTGAGATAGCTCTTAATTTTTAACAGGCCACATAAAAACTTAAGTGAAATGAAAATAAGGAAAATTAAACTAAAATATAATATACCTACATATACAAAAAAATGTGTTTTTACTTGCATAGCCAATAACATAATAGAAATAAGATGATGTTTATTACGTTTTAAGCTGTTATTAATGGAAATACAGAGATATTTTTATGAGTTTATAAGGAAAATGCCATTGTGGTTAAGATACCGTATATAAGGACATAGATAATATTGCGGATCATAATGCGGTAGGTATGGAGTCATAAAAAAAACAAAAAACATTTTGAAAGTGCGAATATTGTAATTTTGTTAAACTTCTTGTGAATAAATACGTAAAACTTTAATATTTATTAATTAATATTCGGCTTCATGAACGTTGGTATCTTATACACTTCCACATTTAAAATGGTTCCCGTCGTAAAAAATTCTTTGCCACTGCAGTGTTGCCGCTTGTGGGTATTTTACCAGAAAATCGGGAAATTTCGTCATACTTGCGGCAGTATTGCCAAAAAGTTAATCTGATTATTAAAAATTTTGATGATTACGTTAATTACGATTAAAATATTTTGATTGGTGCATCATGCAATTGAATTGAGTTTTTAAATTGTAATTTTTTTTTTAAATAGGGCGAATGTGCCAAAAATTTTTAAAAGAAAACTATTTTTTTACTCTTGTGGGTAAAATCGGGTAATTTGTAATTTTTGGTCGAAAACTATTGAAATTCATCTGGCAACACTGGTTAGTAAATAAAACCGGATAAAACCAAGTTGCATTTCTTATAACTTTTTTGTCGTATGGTACTCCAGGAGTAGTACTCCTCTTTACGCCAAAAAATACTTCTTTAAGGCAGATTTATCCTAATAATATCCGCTTTAAAACACTTTGGTATAGATTTAATGTCTTATAAAACCTATTAAACGTTTTTGGTATAAAATGGCGATATTTAGGATAACATTGAAATTTTTAATGCCTAATAGCAATAAAAACAGATGTTTTAAAACAATTTGGCTTTAATATTTTCTTCCATAAAACAAAATGGGCAACCAGCATTGCATGATGTAATGGGGGTTTTATTTTGTGTCGGCCGGTTTTGTTTTTCCAAAAATGCCGTTTAAAATTGTTCAAACAATTGATGTGACTTTATGGCGTTTTAGTCACGGGATAAAGTTGCCAATAGTGACTTTTGGGCATTTTAGGCACGGGCTGAAGTTAGCTTTATTATAAATTACGGAAAAAATTGGCTTTCAATTCTTCTTTTTGTTCGTCGTAGATAAAGTAGTATGCAACTCGTTTTATAAACTTCTCTAGACCCTGGTTTTTATTTAACACTCGCTCGCAAGCTTCGCTCGTGCCTAATAAAACTTGATACATAATATACTATTAAATGTGATTCCAATTACCACTGTTTTAATTTTTGTCTAACAACATCGACATCATGCACATTGCACAAGCATGCCAACCAACAACACAACAAAAAAATAAGGTTACCTTGCTAAAAAAGTTATAGGTACCTATTTATATACATACCCTTAAAATTGTTTAGTAACTTTACAGATCAACAGTTTTAAAGGGCCCAAAAATTTGTCTAAAAGGTTCTCAGTGTAAAACGGTTTAAAGTGTAATCCTAAAACACTTCATAAAACTTAATTTAAAAACAATCATAGGATATAAGCCTTTTTTATGGCTGCTTTAAAACCATGTACTCCTTTAGAGCACTATAGAACCAAAGAGTTTTAAAATAGCATATTAATTAATGCACATAAAACCATATTAAAACAAACTCAATTTTATAACAAAACATTTTTATCATATAGTTTTAAAATATTCTATAAAACATTTCTTTAAGAGTATTTTATCCTGCAGTCTCATTAGAAAAATATATTGCCTTAATAAAACAGCGTCTCTTTTTTGTGCAACAATAAAACCATATTAAAACTACCTTTCTTAAAAAATGTTACTTGGGAGGAGTTGTGAAATGCGAATATTCGTATTTCGCAATTCGCATTTCGCATCTATAAACAGTCTTTAAATGTAATGGTGAAAAACCTTGTACTTCAATAATGCTATCGAACGCCACAAGATGGCGCGCGCGTTGCGAAAACCCGATGCTTTTTAGCGTTACACTATTGTTATAATAGTAATAATAATCTTATTAAATGCCATTTAAGCTTTTAATTAAAATAGGTTAATTGCGTCTTATTCCTGTTTAGTGCCGTCGAACTTGTGTACATTTAGTTATCTATGTTATTGCAGAAAATTTTGTATTTTTTCTGTAGATAATACAAATATTATTTATTAAATATTAGAATAAATACGGTGGAGTTTAAACCTTTTCTCCTGAACATTTTGGTGCTAAGAAGAAAACACCCCGTAATTATTTATTATCAAATATCTTAAAAAAGTAAATAATATCCTCTATATTTTAAAATCTGTCCAATTGTATCCCATCGGACAGAAAATGTAGGTTTTTTTCTACATTTTATATTGCGCACCTTAAAGGTGCATACCAATATGGTGGTTTTTTTATTATTTCAATGTTGTAGAAGTATTGATTTTTAAAAACGAATAGAAAAGAATTTTCTAATGACAAAAATAAAAAGGTATACTTAAAATAAACGAATAAACCAAAAAGGTCAGAAAATACATTTGTTAACTATGTCAGCTGCTTCCATAATGACGCGTTTTTTTTTAAATTAATGGTCATGGATCCTACACAACAAGAAATTGGTTAAAAATGTACTTAAACGTGCTTATTTACATGCACTTACACTTACTTTTTCAAAATTCCCAGAAATATCAAAGTTATAACGATTTTTGGTTTTGACAGGTTGATAGGTTTTAATAAATATCTTGCTGTTTTTTTTTCAATTTTTAAATTTCATTTGTAACTCTTGAAATAAAAAAAATACCCATATGAATACTGTATACACATAAAAAGATACTTATACCGTATTTTCACGCGAAAAGTAAAGCATTTTGCAGCGGATTCAAGCATCATTTGCGTTTTGCATTTGCTGTGCTGTACTTCGTAATAATTTATTAATTCATGTTATTCTATATCAAAGGTTTAAGACAAATGGTTGTATTTTGGGATGTAAATGTCACAAATGTAACCTAGTCACTGTTAACAGAAAATTATTAATTTAATATAATCTGTAAAATAGGGTGCTTCAAATTTTTTTATATATTTTTTTAACTCTTACCCTCCCAAATGCTTAAGGTGGATAAGAAAAAAGTCCTCACGAAAGTCGGACGCTGAAGCTCAACTCTAAGAGGTCGGTATTTTTATTTTAATTTCCTATTTATTTAACATGGTAATTTTTGTTTTTTTTTATTTAAACTGAAATTAACCTTTTAATTTTTTCAAAATAACCATTGTATATTCAGTAAGATGGCTTT